GGACGGCTAGCGCAGATAGCCCTCGTGTAGCTTTGCGCGAAATTCAAACCAAAATTTACTAGTTAGGAATAATATAATAGCCTGCACCTTCCTTTAAGTATTATGCTAATATGGTTTTGTCTGATTAGTTGGATGACAGCCAATCACAGTGTAAACTTTCAGCACGTGATTGTACTCTGGTGTAGTTCGTTTTCACATAGCTATTATAGGAAGATAGATTTGCATGAACTTTGCATTTTATTCACAGTTTACGTAAATATTTCCAATACTGTAGATATATATATAATATTTTATATATTATACATCGTGAAATTTGTAGTCAGGTGTTCAAGATTCTACCAAAGTAAAAATTTCTAAAATAATTCTAATAAGTATTTTAATATCCAAGGGTCTGATATTCAAGCTTCATTTTAACTTTTCCTTACACGACTTGTAATTCCGTTTTGTTCAAACAATATGCGTAAAAATCATTTTGTTTTCGAAGATATTAAGAGTCATGCCAATGTATTTCCACTAATATTGTTTGTATTAAAGCATAACTAGTATTTCATTTACAAGTTCTAAACCTACATGGCTTATCATAAGCATTTGTTGTTGTTTTTTTCCCCCATGCGAACCTATTTATGAATAATAAAACCAATACAGAAAGAAAATGGGGTTTATAAATAATAGATAAATAAATGTATAGATGTTTTGTAAAATCATTGATACAATATTGAAATATTTAAATGAATCACCTCTCTAAAATGTTACCGAGTGACAAAAAAGAAGCAAATTGATAGTTAGTATAAATCAAATTTAAATAAATTACTTACGTTTTAAGGCCCAGTCCTCTAACTTTCGTAAACCTAAAATGATCTGAAAAATACTTGTAGAGCAACCACTTGATAACTTAACCTGGGAACTGTATCGAATTAATGATGGTAAAACCTGCTTCATGGCAGAAGAAACCAGTTGACTGGCTCTTTTCCTGTAGTTGTCAAAGATCTTAGAAACTTTCTGAATAGCATCAGGGGTTACTGTTTTCACTGGGGGATCAGTAGATGTTTTCATAGGTTGGAATGTTGGGATTTCTGTGACATTAATAATTGCGTTTGGTGGTTGCGTTGATATTTTAATCGCCATTGCCAAAGTTTTAGTCTTTCCTCTTAATGGATCAGCTGTTTGTTCTTCAGTTTTCAGATGATCTAATGCCACTGTTTTAATGGTCGACAACACGTTTGTTGGAGCTGTACTTAGTGCTATGTTGAGCTTAGACACATTTGTTAGATAACTGTTTGTTGAACTACCAGGAGCATCAAGAAACAACAATTCCTTAGGAGTTGAAGAACTTTCTGTATTCGGCCATTCTTCTTGTGTACTACTGTTTTTTGCCGATTCTTCTCGCAGAATGGATGGTGCATTTGAAAAGTTCTGCTCTTTCGCAGAAAATCCTTTTTCTGTTCCATTCCATGCGCTTTTTTTTAGTAGTACCTTGTGTCCGCTAGAGCTTTCCCTCGGTGGTAATATCTCCTTTCCTCTGTCTGCCCTTATCTCCAGAACACAAAAACATATACAACAGATCACACACAAACCCCACATTTTAGAGTTCCACGTCTTTCGCTCAGGTTGAAGAATCGACGTTTAGACGAACGTCAAACGTGGCTAAGAGGCTTAAAACCAGACCTTGAGAAACGACCATTCACTGTACAGAAAATTATAAAACCTCGAGGGAACTTTCACTGTGGCGTGCTGCTAGATGAGTGTTTATGTATATCCTTGAATACCGTTAGAGTGACGGACTTCATCTATAGCATAATAAATCTTGTTCATACGAAGATAATATACATGTGTGTGTATGTGTCGTTTAAATTATTAGCTCGTTATAAAATGTGCAGTATCAATTCCTGATGATAAAGGTTGGAGTGTACAAGTACGATTGGTTGGACTGATGACAAAGGTTGAAGTGTACAAGTACGATTGGTTGGACTGATGACAAAGGTTGAAGTGTACAAGTACGATTGGTTGGACTGATGAGTCCAACCAATCGTACTTGTACACTCCAACCTTTGTCATCAGTCCAACCAATCGTACTTGTACACTTCAACCTTTGTCATCAGTCCAACCAATCGTACTTGTACACTCCAACCTTTATTGATGACAAAGGTTGAAGTGTACAAGTACGATTGGTTGGACTGATGACAAAGGTTGAACTGTACAAGTAAGATTGGTTGTACTGATGACAAAGATTGAAGTGTACAAGTACGATTGGTTGGACTGATAATAAAGGTTGAAGTGTACAAGTACGATTGGTTGTACTGATGACAAAGGTTGAAATGTACAAGTAAGATTGGTTGTACTGATGATAAAGGTTGAAGTGTACAAATACGATTGGTTATACTGATGACAAAGGTTGAAGTGTACAAGTAGTGATTGGTTGTACTGATGACAAAGGTTGAACTGTACAAGTAAGATTGGTTGTACTGATGACAAAGGTTGAAGTGTACAAGTAAGATTGGTTGAACT